TGGGAGTCGTGTTTAAGATACCAAATTTGTCATTATCCTCAATCTAAAATGTTTTCTCCTGCTTTACACTCCTGACGAGCAATTTGAAATAAATGGCATATGGAGTTGCTTTAAACTTTATACAAATTAAAACAAATGCATTGGTGTTTTCTTCCAATGAACAGTATACGTAAGGCCTTTAGTCTGAAACTGTCTAGTCTTCCTGATTTAGCTGCACTACCACGCCTACTATTTCTATAATTTCTACAGAACTGATTCTAGTCTCATTTCTTAGGGGCCAGATTTTCAAGTGAATCATAATGAAACGTCGCCCTACTATCTAATACATGCTTTACAGTACACCCGGTTTATATGAATTTGACTGGATTTCAAAAGATGTTTTTATCACTTATGTTAATTCCGATGAGGTTTCCTTTACCCTTGCTATAGGTTTTGGTCTAGGGACCTGAACGATAAAGTATTAAATCAGTTTACCTTTGATTACACAAACCTCAAGTATTGTTCTCTTAGGTAAAATGAGAAAATTTAATTGCTCTCAGACTGAAACCTATAATGTGAAATGAGTACTCATCAAGACAAACCAGGTTTTCCTTGTATTTCACCAATAACCTTAATTGTATATATCTGTGTAGCTTTTATAGGTGTGATCATGCTAAACTCTAGCTAAAAAGGATTTTCCAGAGTTTTTAAATACCTGCTTTCACATGAAATTAAAAGCACCAAGATCTGACAGACCAGTCTGTGTCAGGCAACTGAAGATAAACTACACATTTTCAAATCTGGACTATTTGTCCAGTATGTTTCAATACTGATGGTGAACACTATAATCTTAAAGCCTTTATTTGCACCTTAAACCAGGTACTTTCTTTTAACCGATTTTCTATTTGCTACAAGCCTGTGTGACATATAGATCATGTTAGATCAGAAAATTAAGTGGGTAGAGATTTTCTGACTGAATTACCACACAGGAAAATCTACTTTTATATTAAGCATTTAGGCTCGAAGGGTGGTCTTTAATTTAGCCTCTTCTTTCTATTCTGCTTTATTGTCTATTATATGAAATCAGTTCCTTAAATAAGACAAGGCTTTAGCCCAGGAAGGTAGAATACCAAAAAAACAAAACAAAAATATAACCAAACACTTCCATTGTATGCTGTGATAGCCAAGTTCTGGGGATATAAGGTTTGATGCATTAAAAATACCTCCCCCAGCCCACTCATGCTGGGAAAACTGAAGTATAAAACACAATTCAATGACGCCTTTGAAGACTGGGCAAGAATCACACCTCTGGCAGCTGTTTAATCTGACAGGGTCTCAAAAAAATTTCCAGTGAAAACACACAGTATGAAAAATAACTTTGTGGACTCAAATTTTTTTCTTGCACCACAAGAAACTTGTACTTCAAAATTATTTTTCCGTGTACTAGTACTATTTTGTGATCCCCTTGTATACGCATCCTTAGAAGTTTGTGTGCTAACTGGTATAATACCCTTAAAAATGAATTAATCAAGTTGGTAGAGGAAAATAAGTCCACGTAGGTTTAAAAAAATATTAAAAGTAAAACAAACATATAATCCTTACTATGTTCTTGGTTATCTGACTACAGAAGACCAGGAAAAGAAGAGTTTTGTTTTTTTTCCTATTTTCAATATTGAGGCAAAAACTAAGAATCTAAAACAAGTAACTGGGGCAGTAAAGAATTATTAATAAGACAACATAGAAGAAAATAGAAATTCCATTTTCCAGCTGTTTCAATTTCCCTTTAAAAAAAAAAATATGTGCTTTGAGCCTCTCCTAGCTGAAGACAAAAACAAATCAGCACACAACACAACTTCAAAAAGGATGGCAGGTGAACCACAAAACATTAATAAAAAGGCAAAATATAATTCTCAAACATTTTCATTAGGATATTAAGAGCCATTTTGCAAAAGATAGAATATCCACTCCATGTCAGTTATTTACCTTCATAAAGCAAACCCATTTTAGTGAAATACAGTTTGAGTAGTGTATGTTTGTATGCATGATTTTGACTTCAAGAAAAACAATCTAGTATATTCTAGGGGTTTTGTGGAGGCCGCTGTAAAAGAATTTTAAGTAAACAATTATAAAGTACAAAAATAAAAAACCAGGTTTTTTTTTTTCTCCAAATTCCTGGTTTAATAAGGACTTCTTTATTTTGAGGGAAAAAGGTCCCAAACATCAGGCTGTTCACAAAAATAACCCACAGTATCAACTTTAGAAAACAAATC